CCAGTAAATGTCTGAAATTTCGACCCCATTTATCACTACAAGTAGCACATGAAGGTACCCGCTGCATTTGTTTGCACCTGTCCTAAGTCAGGAACCTGATGTTCAGTGGTTGTCGTTTGTTGATGTGGTTAAGTGTTTCTCGTTTCTCGTTTTTTATATAGATTAGACCGTTGTTTTCTTGTTTGAATAGTTTAACACTAGTCATTTTGGGGTCCTTTATAGCTTTATAGCTTGCTGTTCGGTGTGAGCCAAGTCAAAATTTATAAAAGTAAACCATTATAGGTCAAAGTACGGTCTTCAACACGGAACCTTGGCTCAAACAAGTCATAGAAAGGTTATGGAAATATCGGACTAGTTAAACGTACACTTGTGGCGAATCCAGGATATTGAATAAAAGCGATGTATGAGATACTAAAAAGGGGGAAATTTCATAGCCTATCAGTTTCTTGTCAGTTAGATCTTTTTGATAGATATACGGTGAGCTAGGACGTTTTCCACTTGCCATTGATGTAAAATTAAGGATGATATCCTACTGGTCTAAATTAATTATGGGAAAGCAGTCAAAGTATTCTTGTATTATTTATAAGCTACTGTACCACTTGTATTGTACTAAAAACATAGATTTTAAATGGTTAATATGTGTTAAAAATATATTTGATGAATGTGGATTTTCTTATATCTGGAACACACAGCTCTTTTTAAATGATGTATGGTTGAAATATAATATCAAAGTAAGATTGTGTGATCAATTCAAACAAACATGGAACGAGACTATTCAAAACTGTTCCAAAGCCTTGAATTATCGTATTTTTAAGAATTTATTGTGTTTTGAAGAATATTTTAATATTTTAGACGAAAAAGATTTTTTAACATTATGTAAATTTAGAATATGTAACCATAAACTTCCAGTCGAACTTGGAAGATGGTACAATATAGAAAGGGAAGAAAGAAAGTGTAATTTATGTAAGCTAGATATTGGAGATGAATTCCATTACATTATTAATTGTTCACATTTTAGAGAAGAGAGAAATAAACTTATAAATCGAAATTTTAGTATAAGGCCAAATATTATATTATTTACTGAAATTATGTCGTCTACAAATAGGACAGATCTCATAAATTTATGTAAGTTTATACGAATTTTAAACAAGCGAGTGTGTCCTCCTGAATAATTTCTTTTTGTCTTTGTTGTTGTTGTGTATATTGTATATTTATGTTTATGTATTTAATGTATTGTATAAAATGCATGTCTTCTCTGTACCTATGTATTTGGTGATGAGAATAAAGATATATATAAATAAATAAATGAACTTTTTTTTTATTTCAAGAGGATAACCTCATTAGCCAAAGCTAATCTTCCTTAGGGTCTTAAAATCAATCCAATTAAAATACAGAGCTCTGATTTCTTTATGCTCCATACACGCGAGTTCCGATAGATCTGAGTTTTAATCAGATTACTAAAAAATAAGTCATATATACATAATGTATTTGATGGGCCTCGGTGGCCGAGTGGTCTAAGTATCACTTGCCTATCAACAATGAGGTTGTGAGTTCTAAACTCCGGCTTCCTTCCCCAATAAAAACTGACCGCCACGAAATAGCACAATAGTGTTGAAAATGGCGTTAAACACCAATCAATTAATCATAATGTATTTGACATAATTAATTATAAACACAAATTAATTCATTCACATATCATTATTATTATAGGCATATACTTGCCCTTCAACAAACAAAGTATTGAGAGACTACTCGTTAAAAATGTGTTATAAACTGTTTTAACAATCTCTTTTTAAATAAGTACATTGATGTTGTCTTTATAAAATTGGTCTTTGACTTTGGCAGTGTTATTTTAATGGAAATCAACTGGTAATTTGGAACATTTAAATTTTGGAAATTTTCTTCTAAATTAGGAGGTGCCAATCCATTTAAAGATTTGAATACAAGAATTGCTTTCTGGTATTTAACTTTCTTCTCGAAATTATTACATGATATCATTACATCGGCTTCTAAAATAGCCCTTTCTGACATCTTAAAAAATGGTCTAAATGATTTATACAAAATAAACTGCAGTTCCCCCAAATGACACAACAATAATCACATACTGGTAGAATAGATGTATTAAACCGTGCATAGGAAGGTACTTGTGAACTTTTAGTAACAAATTTATTCTATTTGATATTAAACAAGACATCCTATTGATTTGGTCTGTCCAATTTTCATAAGGAGAACTGTCCATACGAAAATTTTTGTTTACAAATTGTTTTAAAATCACAAAAATGTTCTAAAAAACATACATATTTGGCATAAAAGGTGGAGTCTCTGGGGCACCTTGCCCACCTCCCCCGATTCATCATTAATTGCTCTCAATCTAATGCGTCAAGTAATAAATGCATGTATTTAGATGTAAACTCACATGCGTTGCTTTGGTTTCACGATCACTCAAAACAATGTTCTTGATCAAATCCTTCTCTTCACTAGTAAATAAAAATCAAAACCTTGCCTCTTCTCTTATTAAGGAAGTATTTAACGATAATATCAGAAACTTTAAGATATATACTGCTGTCTGTATTGACCAAAATCGTCAGAGGTTTAATAATAGGGGTTATTATCAATGTACATCAATCAAAGTGGTGTTCTGGGTGAAAAAAAAATACCACAAAACGTCGAGTTTCCATACAACTTGTTGTTAATCTAAATTAACGTTCAAATCAAGAAATTTGAAAGCTGAATTATGATCAATCGCTTAGTTTCTTAATAATGTCTAAATTTATCAACTTCAACTTATATATAGAATTTAAGAAATGTATGTTATAAATCGTGTAAGAACCGAAGCACTAGCTACTCTCGGGAACAAGCAGTCCAACTCTAGTGATAGAAAATTCACAAATATTACTTTATTAATTTGGTGCATTTGAAGCATTTTTCGTGATTTACCTTCTCCAGGAACGCTCAAAACAAAAACAAAAAATTGAAAGATATATCAAGGATGTATAATTAATTGAAAACTAGAGGCGCTGTATGACCAAAAAGGGGTACAAAGATACCGAAATCGCATATGGTCAACTTTTCCATGGAAGTTGGAATTTCTACATTTATCAACGGAAAATTTAAGAAAGGTATGTTATAAATTGTGTACGTATACCGAAGCACTGACAATTGAGTTGTTGATACCCTAGAGGACTTGTAGTTAAATGTTGTTTTTATGATCATATCTTGTACTTCAAGTACATCATAACAACCTGAAATATCTCAAAAAGTAAGTCATACAAGTACACGTATATTTCTTATCATATTTAGAGAGTACAAATCGAAGCAAGCTCCCTGTCAACAGTGTAGGTTTGCTCTGATAGACATAACCATGAAGTACTAAAGTCAAGTATCGTTTTTTTTTTTGGTAATTTTTTTGCAAGTAGATTCATACTGTTGTAGTCTTTTGTTGGAAGTTTTAATTATCAAAATCCTTGACACGAATTATGGCGGTATTGCATGGATGAATAATGGTGAGAGAGCAACCCAGCAACACAATTTTACTAAAGTAGACATCTATTGGTTACGATGCTGGCTAAAACAAACACAACATGCAATATAGACAAGTATCATGTAGTATGAATGCTAATCAGACAAGTATCAACAAAATGGCAAGGATGCAAACAACTATATACATAGGGCACTGTTCGGTCATCAACAATGAGCAAAACCCATACCGTATAGAAGAGAGAGAGAGAGAGAGAAGAAGAACATCATTCATTTTTTTTTTCATTCACCGTTTTGATTGTTGCACTGGTCATAGTCTTATTACAGTTATGTTTATATTTACAGTGTTGTAACCAGAGACATATATACACATATATATGTGTATATATGTCTCTGTTGTAACTAATTGATAAGAAAAATAAATGATTTTCATCATTACATTCTCCACACCAGATTTGAAATGTCGGACTTAACAAAGGAGTCAAATAATTTTTGTTTTTCAAGAATGTACGTGTGCATCATGCTTAGGAAACTTGATATAAACTTTCGCCTAAAGTTTTGTTCATTTTATTCATTGTTTTCACATTTCTATAATCAGTATCTATTTTACTTCGTTTTAAATTCGCCCTTTTAAATAAAATAAAGAGATGTAGTATGTTTGCCAATGAGACAACTATCCAACAGTCCAAATTATGCGGATTTAAGCACCATGCGGCCTTCAACAATGAGCAAAACCAATACCGCATAGTCAGCTAAAAAATGCCCCGATATGGCAAAATGTGAAAAAAAAACGGCCTGATTTATGACAAAATAATAAACGAAAAACAAATATGACAGACAGTAACATGATACAACCACTGTATGACAGGTTTCTGGCTTGGGATAGGCACATATAGAATATGACCGGTTAAACATGTTTGTGAGTGCTTAAGTCTCCCTCTAAGCTGAGACAGTGGTGAAACAGCACAATATAAGAACAAACTAAAAATGCGTTGGAGATGGGTTGACTCATCAGATGCACAAAACAAGCACAATTTACAATTATGCTGATAATTATACTGTATAATAGAATGATAATGATATAGGTAAGGTTATTTACCTGAATACCGACTTTGAATAAAGCTTTGGATTGAATTGAAGCAGGTTAATGGAAAATTCTAAACTTTAAAGACACATACAAAAATTAACGGATATATATATATATTCTTAATTAACAGATTACTGCGTAATTTTTTTTTATGTGTCTTTATTATATATATAGTTTGTGTGTAATAGTCCTAGCAGTAGTCAGTGAACATGTTTTAAGCCTTGAAAATTTCAATCTGATCAAACCAATATCTTGGAATTTTCGATAATGAAAGATAATATCCGTGGCGAATCTGTTATTTTGAATACAACATCTTAAACATATTTTCTATTAAAATTTATTAAATTACCAAAAAAGGTAAAACGTTTCAACTTCCAGTTAATGTATCTGGGTATCATGTTCGGGACTGCTTGTATAGTTTTAGCATTTACGACAGAAAGCGTTTCTCCAAATTAGAGAGTTAAACAACGACGTGAAACTTGACTTTGAGCATTACAAATGCACAAATGGCATCAAAACTAGCAAAATTTGGCAAATTTCATTCAAGAATGTAATTTTCTTTTATCGTATAATTTTTATCACTGTAAATTGATACCTGATAAGGGGTATAATACTCATAAATTGGCATAACCTCTGATCTTTATCTAAATGATCCAAATGGTTGTCTCATAATTGCAATCATACCACATTAGACATCTCCTTATTTTCATATAAACAATTCTCAAAGGAAGAACAAGTAAGGTTTACAAATTCCATAGCTTCAAGATAAATTACTGTCCATATAAGTTACAATTGTTTCATTTTATGTTCAGTCTATGCATGTACATACATTGACATAGTAAATAATAAGTAATAATGTTTCTATTTTTAGCCCATTGTGGAAACAGAAAGTTCCCAACTATCCTTTGTATCAGCAAGGTGGACCACAAAATCGTATATTATTATGTTACTTTTGGATGAAATTGATCAAACCACACCGAGAAGTTCCAAAAAACCAAGTTCATTTTGAGGTTCACCCACAGTAAGTAATTACTTGCATATTTTTTGTCCTTAAGCTGTTGGAGTCATCTGCCTTACTGTACATGTAGGTGAATTGTTATACTCATTTGAGGGTCCTTGATCAAAGTTCTGTAATCCGATTTTACTATGAAAACAGTATGTACATCCTATTTCTTGCAAATCTGTTATTCTAGCTGCAAACTTTCATGACATGCAGTATGTTTAAATACACCAAATAAGTTATTGCCTTAAAGCAGATCAATACAATAAAGGCTGTCAATCATGATCATGTCGATTATATCATGGAAACCAGTTTCAAAAAAGTACAAAAAAATAAAGGCTTGTTTTATACTTATACAATGGTTCATAACATATCCCATTAAATTTATTTTGTAATCAGATAAATAAACTTTGTTACTTGTAATCAGGGTTCTCACTAAGGACTTTTGAAAGAAAGTCCAGGTTTGGCCATGGTGAGTCCAACAGTGAGAAGATGAAATTTCATTGCTATATCAGTTATTGTTTCAGTCCCCATGACAAAATAGAGCAAGGAAATGACATCCATAGATATAAGAAGATGTGGTATGAGTGCCAATGAGACAACTCTCCATCAAATCTAGATAATTTTCAAACTTGTAATAAAATGATGATATTTGTGCTCAGTTGATACAACATTTTACAATCTTGATGGATTTTTAGACTCACCAATTTTGAAAATGATTCCCGACAGATTTTCATGAGTCCAGGACTCATGGACTCGCCTTAGTGGGAATTCTGTTGGTATTATCTGTCTTGAATTAATAACTTCACATGCACAGCACAACCACTTTGTTTAAAGCAGTTTTGTAAATATGACGTTTGGAAATTTGATGATATCTACAATGTATGATGTGAAATTAAAATAACCCAATAAAAGTAATTTTTATGATGTTAACAAAACCAATTAAAAGATATTCCTTATTTGATTTTTAGTAAACAGGAATAAATGGGTTGTCCCCAGGTACATATCAATGCATCAAAAACCAAACAACACAATAAAACCATAAAAGAAATCTAGGTCAACATAAAGTCTTCAAGATTGTTAGAAGTGTCAAGCTTTCAATTGCATCAGTCAAGAGAGGTCAATGGAGGTTGTTACTGTAAATAATTTTTTGTTATGTTTTTAGTATTGCAAAAATTACAATGTGATGGTTTCACAAAAATAAAAAATTTACCATTTATATTTTGGAAGTGTTATTTATATGCAGTATTTTCTGAAATCTCAATGATTAATCTCACATGTGCATCCATTGTTGAACAATCGCAAAAATAAATGCACTCAAAAATTCCTAAATTATCAGTTTTAGATTAACAGAGACTATCAAAGGTCTGCCATCAACCTCAGATTAGTTATTTAGATTAACAGAGACTATCAAAGGTCTGCCATCAACTTCAGATTACTTATTTAGATTAACAGAGACTATCAAAGGTCTTCCATCAACTTCAGATTACTTATTTAGATTATCAGAGACTATCAAAGGTCTGCCATCAACTTCAGATTACTTATTTAGATTAACAGAGACTATCAAAGGTCTTCCATCAACTTCAGATTACTTATTTAGATTAACAGAGACTATCAAAGGTCTGTCGTCAACTTCAGATTACTTAATTAGATAAACAGAGACTATCAAAGGTCTGCCATCAACTTCAGATTACTTATTTAAATTAACAGAGACTATCAAAGGTCTTCCATCAACTTCAGATTACTTATTTAGATTAACAGAGACTATCAAAGGTCTGCCATCAACATCAGGTTACTTATTTAGATTAACAGAGACTATCAAAGGTCTGCCATCAACTTCAGATTACTTATTTAGATTAACAGAGACTATTAAAGGTCTGCCATCAACTTCAGATTACTTATTTAGATTAACAGAGACTATCAAAGGTCTTCCATCAACTTCAGATTACTTATTAAGATTAACAGAGACTATCAAAGGTCTGCCATCAACTTCAGATTACTTCTTCAGATTAACAGAGACTATTAAAGGTCTGCCATCAACTTCAGATTACATAATTAGATTAACAGAGACTATCAAAGGTCTGCCGTCAACTTCAGATTACTTATAAATTACAAAACAAAAACTATTGAGACTTGTCTAAGCCAACCTCTGATAAGTTAGCTAACCAGCTGCAGCATGTTAACATATGGCAGTTTTTGTCTTGCCGAATTCAAAAGTTGTGGAAACAAGACTTAGATTGTGTTATTTCTAATATGGGGACTGCCATAATGTCAATTATTGTATAAGCTTGTGATTAGGTCATACAGGCAAGACATATCTTAGTGTTAACAGTTTATTCATCTATTATTCCTTGTAAAATTCACCATTTTTACAAATTTTTTAACAAATAAGTCCAGCTTTGCAAGTATGTATTACAACCCTTATACATGTTATAGTATTCCTGCAAACACTTCAGTTATCATTTCATTGCATACAAGAAAATAATCTTGCCCACAGGTCAATTGAACCAATTTTCTACTTTTTTTTTTCAATTTAAGACAAAAGTAGTCTGGTTACTACGAAGTTATATAAATTATTTACTGAACCAATAAAAAAAGAGGCCTTTCTACATCCTTTTGAATAGAACAGTTTGTTTGGAATGAAATTTATTTTTTTTGTACACATTAACAGTCCGGTAATAAATTAGTGAGTGTACACATTAACAGTCCAGTAATAAATAAGTGAGCAGTAGCTATAGCTCACAATACATCTTGTTTTGACTACCTCGGTACATACAGGGATTTGAAATACATTTGATGCAATTTAATTTTTTTTGAAGGATAACGAAAATATTTGATTATTTTCAGAATGAGCAAGCATGATATAAAGCAGTATTTAGAGAAAATATACAATGTTCCAGTGTTAAAAGTTGCTGTTAATAATGTAGATGGTAAGACAAACAATATTTTGCAAATATCGCTGGTCAATTTTCAAGTCTGATACAGAACACCTAAATATTGCTGGTTAATTCTCAAGCCTGGTACTAAAACGTAGATATATTTGGTCAATTGTCAGGCCTGGCAACAAACACCTAGATACTTTTTGGTCAACTGTCAGGCCTGGCAACAAACACCTATATATCTTTGATCAATTGTCAGGCATGGCAACAAACACCTAGATATCTTTGGTCAATTGTCAGTATGGCAACAAACACCTAGATATCTTTGGTCAATTGTTAGGCATGGCAACAAACACCTAGATATCTTTGGTCATTACTTAGGCCTGGTACCAAACAACTATATTTCTTTGATCAATTCTCAGACCTGATACAGTCTTAAAAGTTATACATAAATGAGGTTGTCTTTTCTTCCTGTTTCTAAAGCTTATATAAATACATTTTACATTTTCCCACAATGCAGCTTGCTTTTCTTTATTTTTTTCCCCCCAGCTATTGTCTATATTTTGTAGGGATGTCAACTCGGTGAACAATTACAAATCGAGTACTCGTTGGTTTTATCGAGTGATACTCGAGTACTCGCTCGGGAATATATCTACAACACAGAAACACAAAAATACATACTTTATATTCTATGGTTTGTTGTTCAACGGACAAAAAACCATCTACATAAGTATCTGGGACAAGGAATTACACACCATAATTAATAGCTCATTACCTACAAGTACTAATTAAGTAAAAACAATAATCTAACCAATATAATTTAATGAACACCTATTTAAAAATTATAACAAGGAAAAACCATATCAAACAATTGTATTTGGTAATCGTTAAGAAAACACATTTAATGTTTACAAAGGCATAAGGATTAGAAGTTTAACTATTCACTGAGGGTCACCAGAGGATGCAACGAATTTATTTTATTTGAAAACATTTTCTTGTCAACTATTATTGGGGACAGTTGGTTTTGCAACTTTGTAAATTACAGTCTTGCAGACGCAAATATTTGCTCTGACGGTACCGATGTGACGGAATGGCTAAGACATGTTTAGTTTAAAGTGTTAGCCTAGGTATAGCCCACATATTTTGGGAGGCATTTTAAATGACAATTTAGCACAAGCATTGGAAACAAAATGGTTTTTTTTTACTAGTATGATTAATTAGTGATGCCTATTTAATTTTCAAGAAGATCAATTTTATATAAAGAAAACAGCAATATTCTAACAGGAAACTGATTAGTCGAGTATCATTTTGGTATTCAATACTCTGTATTACCGAGTGATACTCAAATACTCAAGTACTCGTTGACATCCCTTATATTTTGCATAGATATTGGTGTTTTGCTTAATACACCAAAAATAAATAGTGATTTGAATATTACTGCTATCTCATAATAGGAGCAGGATACTTATAGATGTATCTGTACACTTTATGAATATCACGTCAGTTTATCTGTCCATCCTTATTTGTATAATATAATTACTAAGGAGGATGAATAGAAATAAGACTAGGTTTTGTTTTGCACTTTAGTTTATTTCTTAAGAGCACTCAACAATGAATCATTGATTTTTTCAGCATTAAAACCAATTTATATAGTTACACACAGCTCAAAAAAAAAATACCAAGGGTACAATAAAAAAAAACACAAGTTGGAAGAAAAACAGACAACACCATGTCCAAAAGAGAAAAAAAACCAGAAGGACAAAACAGCAGTCAACAAGACACTGCACACAAACTAAAGATTAAGCAACAACAACCCTGATAAAAACATGGGGTGAACTATGATACTTTAGAAGGGTCAGCACTCATGTTTAATCCTTTGATTTAAAACAGCCATTGTTAGATTTCTTACAATAACAGATTTATAGTGAATGTCGCTTGTCTGACCCTATGGCATTACCAAATTTACAAACCATTAATACTTGTTAATTCTTTTACTGTAATTATTCAATAGCAACAATTGATGACTTACCATGGCCTAATTTGTTGTATGTTCAGGTCATTTATACTAAATAAAACACTTTTTAAAAAGAATCTTTGGTTCTTCATAACATACAATTTATGCCTGGCCAGTACTGCCTAAGTTTTGAAGATCCCAGAGTTTTTTTTTGTACATATGAATTTTTTCTCAGAGCCATGCATTCATGTAATATAGACACATCTTACAGTTATGATTGTTATGATAACATTTACAAAACGTATACCTCAAATGGGTATAGTTAGTAAATATTGTTACATTTCTGTATTATATTTAGTATCAATATAATTACAGATATATTGATGTTTATAATTCTAGGAAAACCTGGAGTATACAAACAAAAGCCATATGAAGAACCCAAGAAAAGGGCTTATGTAACATTGGTAAGTTTTAAGAACCTGTACAGTTTCTTTTGAGACGGTTAAAGGTAATGAAAAGTAATTAATGCTGATTTTTATACGACCGCAAAAAAATTTTGTGGTCGTATATTGGTATGACGTTGGCGGCGTCGTCGTCGTCCGGCGTCGTCGTCGTCCGGCGTCGTCGTCGTCCGGCGTCGTCGTCCGAATACATATTGGTTTTCGCACTCTAACTTTAGTTTAAGTGAATGGATCTTTTTGAAATTTGACCATAAGGTTAAATACCACAAAAGGAAGGTTGGGATTGATTTTGGGGGTTATGGTACCAACAGTTAAGGAATTAGGGGCCAAAAAGGGGCCAAAAATGAGCATTTTCTAGTTTCCAGACAATAACTGTGGAACGGTGTATGGATCTCTCTGAAATTATACTACAAGTTTCCATACCACAAAGGGATGGTTAGGATTTGCTTTGGGGGGTTATGGCTCAAACCGTTTAGGAATTAGGGGCAAAAAAGGGGGAAAAACAAGGTTGTCCTGGTTAATGGACAAATACTTTAGTTCAAAACATAATTTAAAGCAGTGTAAGGGAGATAAATCAAATACATCATTGAAATTATCTCCCTTACACTGCTTTTAAATTATGTATAAAGTAATGGTTAATGAACAATAAAGATAATCTAAAACAGTGTAAGGGAGGTAATCCAAATACAACGTTTTGGTTACTTCCCTTACACTGCTTTTAAATTATGTTTAAAGAAATGCATATTTATAAAGGAAGACCAGTAAAAATATCTGCAAATGTTTTCATCTTTTTTTTTTACAAAAAAATCCATATGAAAGATTTGACACTATATTTTTATTAATTCTATTATAAAATAGATTAAGTTAGCACTATGGTAAATTTAAATGGGTAATTATGGTTGCCAACTCCATTGGAAATTTGAATTGAGATTATGACCATATCTTGAGGGAAAGAATTTTTTGGGGGGAAAAAGGGGGGGGGAGGATAAAAAGAAATTGTGGGGGGCCAATTTTTTCTCATTTCAGATTTCAGAAATTAAAAAGAATTATTCTTCAAATATTTTTTTTTTTTCAAATTTCAAATATTGAAAAATTTCAAGAAGTAATCTTTAATTGCACAGTATGGCGCATTACATTTGTAAAATCTTTGATCACATTTATTTATTTGTTATGCCGAATCTAACAGTGTATTTAGATTTTTAATTTTGGGTCCAGTTTTCAAATTGCATTAATGTCCAAAGGGTCCAAAATTAAACTTTGTTTGATTTTAGCAAAAATTGAATATATGAGGTTCTTTGATATGCTGAATCTAAACATGTATTTAGATTTTTGATTTTTGGCCCAGTTTTCAAGTTGGTCCAAATTGGGGTCCAAAATTAAACTTTGTTTGATTTCAACAAAAATTGAATATATGGGGTTCTTTGATATGCTGAATCTAACCATGTATTTAGATTTTTTATTTGTGGACCCCGTTATCTAATTGGTTCATATTGAGGTCAAAAGGGTCCAAAATTAAACTTTGTTTGATTTCATCTAAAATTGAATTATTGGGGTTCTTTGATATTCCAAATCTAACCGTGTATTTAGGTTTTTAATTTTGGGTCCTGTTTTTTAAATTGGTCTACATTGAGGTCCAAAGGGTCCAAAATTAAACTTAGTTTGATTTTAACAAAAATTGAATTCTTGGGGTTCTTTGATTTGCTGAATCTAAACATGTGTTTAGATTTTTGATTATGGGCCCAGTTTTCAAGTTGGTCCAAGATAGGGTCCAGTATTTAAACTTTGTTTGATTTCAACAAAAATTGAATATATGGGGTTCTTTGATATGCTGAATCTAAACATGTGTTTAGATTTTTGATTATGGGCCCAGTTTTCAAGTTGGTCCAAATTGGGGTCCAAAATTAAACTTTGTTTGATTTCAACAAAAATTGAATATATGAGGTTCTTTGATATGCTGAATCTAACCATGTATTTAGATTTTTTATTTGTAGGCCCCGCTATCAAATTGGTTCATATTGAGGTCAAAAGGGTCCAAAATTAAACTTTGTTTGATTTCATCGAAAATTGAATTATTGGGGTTCTTTGATATGCCAAATCTAACCGTGTTTTTAGATTTTTAATTTGGGTCCCGTTTTTTAAATTGGTCTTCATTGAGGTCCAAAGGGTCCAAAATTAGACTTAGTTTGATTTTAACAAAAATTGAATTCTTGGGGTTCTTTGATATGCTGAATCTAAACATGTGTTTAGATTTTTGATTATGGGCCCTGTTTTCAAGTTGGTCCAAGTTGGGGTCCAAAATTAAACTTTTTTTGATTTCAACAAAAATTGAATATATGGGGTTCTTTGATATGCTGAATCTAACCATGAATTTAGATTTTTTATTTGTGGGCCCTGCTATCAAATTGGTTCATATTGAGGTCAAAAGGGTCCAAAATTAAACTTTGTTTGATTTCATCAAAAATTGAATTATTGGGGTTCTTTGATATTACAAATCTAACCGTGTATTTAGATTTTTAATTTTAAGTCCCGTTTTTTAAATTGGTCTACATTAAGGTCCAAAGGGTCCAAAATTAAACTTAGTTTGATTTTAGCAAAAATTGAATTCTTGGGGTTCTTTGATATGCTGAATCTAAACATGTGTTTAGATTTTTGATTATGGGCCCAGTTTTCAAGTTTGTCCAAGTTGGGGTCCAAAATTAAACTTTGTTTGATTTTAACAAAAATTGAATATATGGGGTTCTTTGATATGCTGAATCTAACCATGTATTTTGATTTTGGACATTGGACCATAATAGGTAAATTAAAAAAATTCAAGTTCTTAGACCACATTCTTTCTGTGTCAGAAACCTATGCTGTGTCAAATATTTAATAACAATCCAAATTCAGAGCTGTATCAAGCTTGAATGTTGTGTCCATACTTGCCCCAACTGTTCAGGGTTCGACCTCTGCGGTCGTATCAAGCTGCGCCCCAGCGAAGCATTTTATTATTAATTATCCTAATGTATAGAATGATTTCTAGTGTTTGTAAAATTTGTAAGAGTGAGAAATTTATTATTTTTGAAAGTATAAAGTTTTAAAATTTATTTTTAACAATTCATTGAAATGGTATGTTCCTGAGTAGGACAGGCTATAAAACCTGTTAAATTTATTACATGAATAGTGTTTTGAGTCAAACTTTTGACCTACATTTTTCAAAATTAGGACATGTTTTTTGCAAAGAACATCAGTTATTAAGATGTCAGTTTAGGTTCAGATACCATACACACATAATAATAATAATAATAATAATAAAATAATCTATTTCAAGAGGGTATGCTCAATTAGTACAAACACTATTCTCACCTGAGGCCCCCACACTCCACTCACAATGCATTACACAATTTCTTCATAACAAAGATAAACATAAGAAAACATAATCAAAATTGATATATAATCATTTAAATAATTCCTGCATTTTCAAGTAAAAACTTAAAGCAGTTTGTTTTAAAAGTATTTATGTTTGACATGTGTCTTAGTGCTTCTGGTAGTTTATTCCATAAAGTTGGGCCAGAATATGAAAAAGATCTTCTAAATGTGTTTGTTCTTGCCTTTGGTATATTAAGTAATTGGGTTGTATTTGATCTATACTACATAGTTGAAGACTGCAGTAACTGGCAAGAACGTCATTAGAAGTTGAGGATGTTTTTGTGAAAGGTCATTTCCCAATATTTATATAATTTTGTAATGTCATTTTCATTTGAAAGGAGATAAAATTTGTAGGCATTACATTTGAACCACTTCGGTATCAAAGACTTGAAAGTCATAAACAAAGATTTCCTAAACACTAGTCATAGTTCATCATATTCAGCCAAATCAAGGCTTATGCAAATAATTATTTAGTTGGAAAATTCAAAAGAATAAAACAATGAAAAATTTATCTGTGATTAATTTTTTTTGACATGATTAATGTGTAATACTTCATGGATTGTTATCAAATTTGGACAGAAGCTAATCCTCAAGATCAAGAAATAGCATTGGAAGAAAATAGTTTCATATGCAAAAAATATTTCTATATTTCACTGATAAATGGACTTACTTTTTTACAGTCAACATTACTCATTTACACTGATGACAGCAGCAATCACAAGGGGAACATATTGTTTAGTGGAAACCTTTCCTATTTTTATGACCCTGCCTTAGGCAATGGGGCATTAAGTGATATCCTTGACAGTCAGTCCTTCCGTTTGTTTTTCCCTCTGTCCTTCCGTCCTTCAGTCCCTCCCATTTTTATTTCCACACTCTAACTTAATTTTTCCTCATCAAAATTCTATGATACTCATACACAATGCTAGGAATCCAAACTTGCAGACAGTGTTTGAATTTGGGCAGTGAGTCACTTACCGTTCTAGAGTTTTGTCCCTTTAAAACTTGGAAAATGTATATTTTTTTTTCCTTTCCCTCCGTTCTTCAGTTTGTCCCATTTTTGTTTCTGTGCTCTAACTTAAGTTTGCCTCACACCAATTTTATGAAACTCATTCACAATGTAAAGAACCACAACATGTAGACAGAGTTGGAATATGAGCAGTGAGTCATTTACAGTTCTAGAGTTATGCCCCTTTTTAACTTCGGAAAATTGCAAAGCTAGAGCAGGGGCATTCTTGTCCTCAGACACATAATTCTTTTATTTTTAAATGTTTCATATATTTAATTGATAAATTACCTTCGTCTTCGTCAGCATCGTCCGAAGACATTTGGTTTCCGGACAATAACTTTACTTAATGTAAATAGAAATCTATGAAATTTAAACACAAGGTTTATAACCACAAAAGGAAGGTCGGGATTGATTTTTGGGGTTATAGTCCTTACAGTTTAGGAATAAGGGGCCAAAAAGGGGCCCAAATAAGCATTTTTCTAGTTTCCAGACAATAACGGTGTATGGATCTCTCTGAAAATATATAATACCACAAGTTTCCATACCACAAAGGGATGGTTAGGATTGGCTTTGGGGGGTTATGGCTCAAACCATTTAGGAATTAGGGGCTAAAAAGGGGGAAAAACAAGGGTTTCCTGGTTAATGGACAATTAAAAAAAAGTACAATGTTATGTTTGGATTACCTCCCTTACACTGCTTTTAAATTATGTATAAAGAAATGTTGAATTGTCTTGAGGTGATTAGCTGTCAATTTATTTTTAGAAGTTACTATTTAAAAATGCTGATTAAGGAATATTAATTTTTGCCATAATTATGTATGTCATTTTCTATTTTAAGACTTTTATGATGTATTTAAATGGGTAATTAGGGTTGCAAACTCCATTGGAAATTTGAATTGAGATTATGACCATATCTTGAGGGAAAGAATTTTTTTTTTGTGGAAAAATGGGGGGGAGGGAGCTGAAAAAAAAATTGGGGGGGGGGACAATTTTTTCTCATTTCAGATTTTCAGAAATTAAAAAGAAAATTTCTTTAAATAAAAATTTTTTTTGGGGGGGGGGGGGGGGGTCAATTTTCAACAGCATAATGTATTGCACAAATATAAATTCAAATCATATAACCAATTCTAAGTTCTTTGACTACAGTTATTCTGTGTCAGAAACCTATTATGTGTCAAATATTTAATTACAATCCAAATTCAGACCTGTATCAAGCGCAAATATTGTGTCCATTTTTGCCCCAACTGTTCAGGGTTGGACCTCTGCGGTTGTATCCAGCTGCGCTTGGCGAAGCAATTTGTTTTATCTTTAATTGATCAATGGATTGCTATTAGTTATTTGGCAGTAAACATAAGTTTTTTACTCTGGCAGCAACAGTTGAAAGAGAAGAACCTGTTTCATTTTTGTTTAGATAATAACTCTGTTCAATCACGCTTTGATTGTTATGATGCAACAAGTTGTTATTAAGTTGCCTTCTTAATATTTGTTTGTGTCTTACTGCTGCTATTAACATTTTTAAACACACCAAGCTTTAATAAAAAAATATAAATTCCTTCATTAATGTGCTCCAGATTCAACTCTGAGTAGGGCCCCAGTGGCCAATGGTCTAAGTATTGGAACTACTGTACCACTAGCCTGTCAACACTGAGACAGGTGCACTAAAAATCTTAATTGACTAGGATTGTCAGTTTTCCTACTGGAGATTGGTGGTTCTCTCCTTACACTTTGGCTTCCTTCACCAGTACAAACTGATTGCCACAAAATAGCACAATATTGCTGAAAGTAGCATTTAACACCAAAATTCAAATTCAAATCTGTCCCTTTATCAGCGTGAGATGACGGATTTACTACTCTACTTAACCATTTTATACTCTAATATCTCCTTTCTCTAGTGCATCTTATTTCTAGTTAAATAATGACTTTTATTTTACAGGCAGGTGGACAGACTTTTGAATTCCCTGATGTGTCACCTATAATGAGTCAGTATGAAAAAGACAAAGAAGAATTTGAAACAACAGATAAAGCCTTCATAAGACAACAACAGAAATACTGGGACAGACTTAGTATACCACCATGGTTTAGAAGATAATAAATATATTTAAAGTGAACAGTTGTTTCCTATGCCAAATGCGTTTAATTTCTTGATTATGACAGCATAATTAAAAGTTTTCTGTTTAAATCACTGAGAAACCCTTACAGTAACTGTTTTTTTTTGTTTATTTTCTTTCAAATTTCTTGCTAAAAGAGTGTGACATAAATTCATCAAAGAAGTTAGGCTATATAATAATTTTGTCTGCCTGAAGTGTATTTCTTCTACAAAAGACTAATCAGCGAAAAGCCAAATAAAGTACGAAGTTAAAGGGCATTAAAGGCCAAAAATTACTAAAAGTTTTGCCAAATATGGCTAATGTAATCTATTCCTGGGGTAGAACATCCTAAGTATTTCGAACAATACAAAGAATTTAAACAGTTTATTTATAAATATGACAATATCAATGATAATTCATGTCAACACAGAAGTTCTGACTACTGGGCTGATGACTCAAAAAAATAACATTTGGTGCCAATTATCAATGATATAATTTCTGTCAGAAAGAATTTCTTAGTACTACCTTGGAAATAAGAAACTGTAACATGATTGGGAAAAAAACAAAGGAAGGAAATTTATGGGGACCCACACTAGTATTTTGTTGCAATTAAGGATGTTTGCTCCTCTTGTTTTTGAATTTTTGCCAGATATTCTGAATCCTTTGAAATTATCCATGTAGTGCCATTAAAAAATGTTGCCTGCTAACCCTTTCTTTTCTTTTTATAATTTTATTACATATAGTTTAAAAAACTATGTTTGAAAATCTTAAAAATTCCTTGTTATTTTTTCATTGTTTTTGAAAGAAAACAGGTGCCAATGTTAAATGTATGAAAAATCTAGAGAGAATAATTTCCCGCCAAATTTTTAATGGCTTATATCTTGAAAACAAGCACACAGACCCTTCATTGTTTCCACTTTTTTAGTTCCTTTATTTATATACTATCAATTTGTAACAGACGTTTAAAAAGCTTGTTATTTTGAAACAGAGTAGCGAACATCCTTAAACTGAACCAACTATTGACAAAGCCAGAAATATAATTCCATGTACATTGTACCATGTATATTACACAATTTAAATTTTTGAGCAGTAAACTCATAACTGTAGAACGGTAAAGGATTAAAGGAGGTCAACTTGACCTTTCACTTTTGATTTCAGGAGATCCACTTGTGCCTTTCAGAATCAGTCTTATCTGTTATAGATTAAAATCAAAACAACATGAGTTATCTTACTTGAGGTAGTCTGAGTCATACCTTTTAAGTAAGAATTGAAACTAGAAATGCTCTTTAATGACGATTTATACCCATTTTTTGGTGTTCTGCATCTCATCTTGAAAACTAGAATAGATAGATTGACACTTTAATTAAATAGCAAAAAAGATCAGCAAGACCTAAGATCTAAAAATAAGTCAACAAGGCTGAAATCGTCAGTCGACTCCTTTTTGAGCACTTGCTCTCTAATGACTATTTTTACCAATATTTTGCATTTTTGCTTTTTATCTTGTTAACTGTAAAAGATAGATAGAAACTTTGTATGGCAAAAATGATTAGCAAGACAAGAATTACAAATAAGTCGAATTTTCCGAAATATTTAGTAGACTCTTAATTGAGTGATTGCCATGAAATGACGATTTTTTACCCTTTTTAGCTCACCTGGCCCGAAGGGCCAAGTGAGCTTTTCTCATCACTTGGCGTCCGTCGTCGTCGTTGTCGTCCGTCGTCGTTAGCTTTTTACAAAAATCTTCTCCTCTGAAACCACTGGGCCAAATTTAACCAAACTTGGCCACAATCATCATTAGGGTATCTATTTTAAAAAATGTGTCCGATGACCCCGCAAACCAACCAAGATGGCCGCCATGGCTAAAAATAGAACATAGGGGTAAAATATAGATTTTGGCTTAAATCTCTGAAACCAAAGCATTTATAGTAAATCTGACATAGGGTAAAACTGATTATCAGGTCAAGATCTATCTGCCCTGAAATTTTCAGACAAATCTGACAACCTGTTGTTGGGTTGCTGCCCCTGAATTGGTAATTTTAAGGAAATTTTGCAGTTTTTGGTTATTATCTTGAATATTATTATAGATAGAGATAAACTGTAAACAGCAATAATGTTCAGCAAAGTAAGATCTACAAATAAGTTGTCATGACCAAAATTGTCAGCCGACCCCTTTAGGAGTTATTGCCCTTAATAGTCAATTTTTAACAATTTTTTGTAAATTTTTGTAATCTTTTACAAAAATCTTCTTCTCTGAAACTACTGAGACAAATTTAACCATACTTGGCCATAATCATTAATAGGGTATCTAGTTTAAAAAATTTGTCTGATGACCCCGCCTTCCAACCATCATGGCCGACTTGGTTAAAAATAGAACATAGGGGTAAAATGCAGTTTTTATACGACCGCAAAAAAATTTTGAGGTCGTATATTGGTATGACGTTGGCGTCGTCGTTGTCGTCGTCGTCGTCGTCGTTGTCGCCGTCGTCGTTGTCGTCGTCGGCGTCGTCGTCCGGCGTCGTCGTCCGAATACACAATGGTTTTCGCACTCTAACTTTAGTTTAAGTGAATGGATCTCTATGAAATTTTACCATAAGGTTCAATACCACAATAGGAAGGTGGGGATTGATTTTGGGGGTTATGGTACCAACAGTTAAGGAATTAGGGGCCAAAAAGGGGCCGAAAATAAGCATTTTTGTAACTTCCAGACATAACTTGTGTGTTAGCATATGGATCTCTTTGACATTGTACCACAAGATTCCATATCACAAAGGGTCAATGCTGGGATTGATTTTGGGGTTAATTGCCTCAAAATTTTAGGAATAAGGGGCCAAAAGGGGGCAAAAAACAAGCATTTTTCTAGTTTCATGACAATAACTTGTGTGTAAGTGTATGGATCTTTCTGAAATTTTACTACAAGGTTCCATTTTACAAAGGGAAAGCTGGAATTGAGAGTTGTGTTAATTGCCCAAAATGTTTAGTAATAAGGGGCCTAAAAAGGGGTTTAATATAAGCATTTTTTAGTTTCTAGACAATAACTTGTGTTCAAGTGTATGGATCTCTCTAAAATTGTATTACAAGGTACCATACCACAAAGGCAAGGCTGTTATTGAGCTTGGTTTGGGGGGAAAAGGGGTGGGGGTGATGAATCATAAGGGGGGCGGGGGTCAAAAAAGGGGTAATTTTTTTTTTTCCTTTTTTTTTTGTTTAAAATTTACATTTTAAGTTAGTTATTTTTTATCACGAAGAGAAAGTAGGAATTGAGTTTTGGGGTTAATTGCTCAAACATTTATGAATAAGGGGCCAAATATTGGTCGAAAATAAGGATTTTTTTAGTTAGCAACAAAAACTTGTGTTCAAGTGTATGGATCTCTGTGAAATTGTATTGCAATGTACCATACCACAAATTGAAGGTTGTGATTGAGGTGGGGGATGATGAATCAAAAGGGGGTTGAAAAAATGTGTGGGGGGTAGGATTTTTTTTTTTCCTTTTTTTTTCTTTAAAATTTTCCATTTAAAGATGGTTGTTTCAGATTTATATATGAAAGAAAATAATAATGATACGGTTATATATCATGAGGAATTGAAATTTTAAATTATGTATATTGGAAATTTAGGTTACATTGGAAAGTAATATTGGGGGGGGGGGGGGGGGGTGGTGGTTATGGCTCTAATGTTTAAGGAATAAGGGGAAAAAAGGTTAAAAAACAAGGGTTTCCATTTTAATAGACAAATAATTGAGTAAAGAACATTATTTAAAAGCAGTGTAAGGTTGGTAATTCAAACTCATTTAAATATCTCATCTACACTGCTTTTAAATTATGTAAATTGGAAATTTGCCAATAACTTTATTGTTAATAAATGCATTGGAAATTTGCCAACAATTTTAGTGTAATAAACTTCATTGGAAATTTGCCAATATAAAATTTTGCTGATGAAGGTTTTTTGTTTACCTTTAGCCTTGACTATGAAGTCATTTTCTATTTTTATAGCCTTATGATGTAGTTGAATTATTTAATACTTTTATGATGTGTTTAAATGGGGTTTTATCATGTTTATGGTTGCAAATTTATTGTTTTAGTATAATAAACTCCATTTAAAATTTGCCAATAAAAAAAATTTTTGTTTATTTTTAGCTATGATTATGATGTCATTTTCTATTTTACTTTTATGGTTGCAAAGAAATTTTTATTTTTAGATATTACTGTTAAATGATGCTGATTAAGGTTTTTGCTATGTTTAGCCATGACTATGATGTCATTTTCTATTTTAATATCTGTTATGATGTATTTAAATGGGCTTTTATGGTTACAAAGGAATTTTATTTTTAGATATTACTATAAAATGTTGCTGATGCTGATTAAGGATTTTGTTTATTTTTAGCCATGACTATGATGTCATTTTCTATTTTAATACCTTTATGATGTAATTTCCATTTTTAGATATTACTGTTAAATGATGCTGATTAAGGGTTTTTTGCTATGTTTAGCCATGACTATGATGTCATTTTCTATTTTAATATCTTTATGATGTATTTAAATGGGCTTTTATGGTTACAAAGGAATTTTATTTTTAGATATTACTTTAAATGTTGCTGATTAAGGATTTTTGTTTATTTTTAGCCATGACTATGATGTCACTTTCTATTTTAATACCTTTATGATGTATTTAAATGGGCTCTCATGTATTTAGATTTTTGATTATTTATACATGTTACCAAATTGGTCCACATTGAACAAAAACGGTCCAAATTTCAACTTTATTACATTACATCAAACATTGAATTCTACATATTCTTTGATATATTGAAATTAACAAACAATTTAGTTTATGGATATTCCACCATAATAGGTAAATTAAATTTTTTCCAGTTCTTACACCACATTCATCCTGTTTCAGAAACCTATGCTGTGTCAAATATTTAATGACAATCCAAAGTCATAGCTGTATCAAGCTTGAATTTTGTGTCCATACTTGCCCCAACTGTTCAGGGTTCGACCTCTGCGGTCGTATCAAGCTGCGCC